TGATAAAATTACGTATTATTCTAATACTCTATTTAATATTGTCTTTTATATTTTCGTATTATATTAAACTGTATTACTATATCTAATCCATTCATTTTTAATATGACAACCAAACGAGCCTTATATTGGAGGGACAAGATTTGTTGAGCTAATGAGGGCATGAAACCAGACAAAGTTGGCAGAAAAGACTAGGCATCTTGAACAAGAACGGAACCGGGATTTAATTCTAAGGAGGGTAAATAATAGGGAGAATTATATTCAGATCTCTTGAGATTTGTCATTTAATCACTCAGACATTTGAAATATTATACATGAACCGTCTAAGGTTTGTACGCATGTAACACTTAAACCCCTGCTATAAATATATCGGTTAATAAATTATACTTAAACCCCTTGAAGTTTGTAAGTATGTAATACTTAGACCCTTTAATTTTAAAATATTATACTTAGACAAAAAATACTCCAATCAAAGATAAAATATTAAATATTTTAAATTTTACAACAAAATTTGATGTTCTATTGTATCATTTATTGAAATAAAATTTTAATTTTTTTTAAAAAATCGTAATTAATATACAATTATATTATCTATTGGAATAAAACTAAAAAATCAAACAAATGGTTTAAGTCATTCATAATAGAAAATGAATTTTACATCCAAAAATTATTTTTATTATGTCATTTATTGAAATAAAATCAAAAATAAAAATGTAGTTTTTAANGGTTTAGAACAACAAGTTTATGTTGGGCTCTACTCGAATTGAACCTGTAAAATAACCTGAAATCAACTCGAAATCATCAATCCAAATTCAACCCGAACCCGCCCGAATTAAACTCGGACAATGCTTGAGTTGAGTTCCTCAACCCGAGGTAGGATTAAGGTTAGGGTTAGGATTGAAAATTATATACNCAAACTATAATTGATACAATTTCTTTTAGTTTTAATTGGGGTAGTTTGGTATTTTAATTTGGTAATTTAAACGACCAAATTAAATTCTAATAGACAATATAATTGTATACTAATTACGATTTTTTAAGAAAAAATTGAATTTTTATTTTTGATTTTATTTACATAAATGATATAATAGAACATAAATTTTAATTGTAAAATTTAAAATTTAAAATATTTAATATTTTATCTTTGATTGAAGTATTTTTGGTCTAAATATAATATTTTTTTGTCTAAATATAAAGTTTTTGACTATATTCTTTTACAAACTTCAGGGGGTTTAAGTGAAATTTATTAAAGAATATATTTTCAACAGGGGTCTAAGTGTTACGCACGTATAAATTTTAGGGGGTCTGTGTGTAATATTTCAAATGTCAGGAAATTTGAGTGATTAAATGACAAATTTCAAGAGTTTCGAGTATAATTTTGCCGAATTAATAACACAGTCAAAAACTTTATTCACTGGAATTATTCAACTAGTTATTATTAGTTACAAAATTTTAATTATATAAAACCTATGAATATATACTAACTTCATACAATATACCATAATAAAGGTTAGTTTAGGTCACACAAAATTGGTTCTACTATATTACTACAAATTAGTCTGTCTTAATATCACAATCATATCTTATTCTCTCATTTATGATACGACATAATCTTTATCAATAAACTCAATTTTTTACAAGTGCACACACACAAATACACAAAAAAGAAAATTATTTTTCTTGCCCATTTTTTCACAAGTTAAATTGTGTTATTTTTTTGATTAATTTTTTAGGAAAGAAAATTATGTTGTAGGATTTATTTTTTAGAAATTTGAATTTTATATTATATCATGCCTTCGTATACGAGTTATAGTCAATATTTTTATATTACAATTTTTAAAATAATTTTTTTTTGGGCCATCAAAGTCATTCCATGTGAGACAAGAAGGTTAAAGGTTTAAAAAAATAAAAAAAGGATTTGTTGATAATGATAGGGAATTTAGTTGGATGGACTTCTACTTTTAACATTTCCCTTTCAATTATGCCATTCTTTTTGTAGTGGGAATTGAGCAAGTGGAGCTGAGATTGTAGTGTAATTGTTTAATGATTAAGCCGTAGCATTGATTGTTTCATGCAATTAATTTATATTTAAAAGGACAATAACTTGATATTGGGCAAGCCATTTAGTGGGAATTTTTTTTTCTTTTTTGAACTGGGGTTTTCACCGACAATGTTAGGATGGCTAGGTGTGAAATTGTTTAAATGTCGACTACGGTACTCATAAAAAAAAAAAAAATTGGTACTATATCTCAAAAATTAATTATTTAAATGGGTATTTTTATAATCTTTATGGGTTATTTTGTAATCAAAAAATTTTATTATTTTTGTGGATGATTTATTATTTTTTGTGAGTATTTTTACTATTATTGTAGTAACTATTTTTGCTACTTTTTTTTTTGTACCAAAATAATTATTATTTTTATAGGTGATTTATCATATTTGTGGGTATTTTTATCATTGTTTCAGTAACTACGTTTATCATTTTTTGATACTACAATAGTAACAAAAATACATACAACAAATATGATAAATAAAGGTATGGCACCGAATTTTTTTTTCAATATCATAGACAACTCCTTAAAAAGAACATCCATCTTAATACTACTCTGTTATAAATATAAATAATTGCAAAGTTGCGCTGAGATACATTGCATTTTTTTTAGGCTCTCTGCGACGCTTGTATGATGTTGAGTAAATTATATTTAAAATATAAACATATTCCCTTGTGTGTTCATAAAAAAAAAATAGATAAACTGAAATTTCAATCAATTGTGGCAAGAGGTTCAAGTTCATCGATAAGCCCTCGTTTACTCCTCTGAAGGTTACTCTTTTTTGGAGGTGATGTTTGGACCGAGACTTACGGGTATTCTCATACTCTTGTGACCACGGTATAAGTTGAAGGGAAAAAAAAATGTTTAAACAGAGTGGACCATTGTGCCCTCACATTTACGTTTTTGAACAAAAATTAGTGATGTGGTTAAGATAAATTAAATAATTTCCTCCAAATCATCAGACATCACAATTAATTGTGTTGTTATAAATGAAGTTTTGATTAAGAATAAACTAATAACTTAGGTGGTTGAGATCTGTCCCACCCTGTGCCAGATGAGGGGTCAAATTCCATCACTTCATTGGATGAGTATGGGTTTATTGCTTTGAATTAATGAATTTATCCCCAAAAACTCCTTGAATTTCAATGGGATTGAGGTTTAAACTAAATCTAACCTGAATATTAAAAGTTTCTGTTCTCAGATTGGGTTCGGATTGACTTATGCTAAATTACAATCCTAGTTTTAACTCCTACAACTAGTCAAAGTAGCTTAACATTTCTTCCGTTTTAGAATTATTATGAAACATGTATTAAGTCGTGAGCAATATTACATGGACTTTATTTTGAAAAACTCTAAGGAGTAGTTCAAGTAGTAATAAAAATGAACTGTAAAATCAGACTTTCAGATTTTAAATTTTGACAACTTCTTAGAACCAAGGCATGAAAGATTTGTCATTCATGAATACCCTTGCCTTGGCGTGGATGGTTTGCCCTTGATCAGATTAGAGAGAAAATTAATCGAGGTGCGCGTAAGTTGACTCAAACATCCTTGATCGTTAAATAAAAAAAAAAGACTTTATTTTAGAAAATTTGAGACCTAATTCAATGCAATTATTGAATTAATTGTGAATTCCAAAATTAAGGGGAGCCTACTTTCAATTCAATTAAGTACCAAATTAAATCCTTCGATTCAAATAATACATTTTTTTTTTGTCTTGCGTCCTCCCATTCAAGACAATAAAAAAAGGAAAACCCATTAAAAGTTTTCTATGTCAGTATTCTTGGTTATTATTATTATAGAAAACACATTTTTTATTTCCAACTAAAAAAAACAATTTAGTAACCAATTTATTCATGTAATATAATAACTATCTCATGTATAAAAATGGGGTTTACTTGGTTCATTTGATTATTTTTTATTGGATGTTGACACCACGTTATCGTGGTGATGTAGTGTTACCATTACATTAAATATTTAGTATTTACTCCCCCAAGGAGAGGTCAGAGTTTGAGTGCTCATCGCAACCTATTTCTTTCCCAAGTGGGTGATGTTTGGGTAGTTTTTTTTTTTGAATAGATGTTTGGGTAGTTATCTCTACGTATTTTCTACTAAATATTGCCATGACCTTTGTCACTCCATGAGTACAAACTCTCAACACAATGAATCCATCCAATACTTCCTCTAACAAATCTATTAGCTCAATTGAAAACAACAAGCGTGAGGTAACTGATCATTACAACTAATTATCCAGTACCAAATCCACTGATGAGACAAACAAAACGTTTTGCTTTCTAATTTCCTTAACATGCATACCATTACTTTTTCTTAACAATGGAGAGCTATGCCAACGATGCATCATTTGGACTCGTAGGAGAAATTCACTCCAGATGCATATAATCCCATACGTGACAGCTCTACTTATCTTAATTGGATAATATCCATGATTTCAACCAAAAAAAAAAAGCAACGCCATAAAAAACAAGGGGGCAGGCACAGCAGACAGACAATGTCTTACAACACAAAGGCAAATCAAATGCACCATTTAATTGACAAGTCACAAGGAAGTAGGGGGAGACGAACACAAGTCTCCAGCTTAACACATGCACAACATAAACAAAAAAAGGAAAACAAGAACACTATTCAAGGCAGACCATCCACCTGACAACTTGGTTTAGAAAACCCGGAAGTTTTTCACAAAACTGTCGGAGTTTCTTATAGCTTTCATGCTGCAACAAGTTGAACGAGGATTTGCAACCCTGCTTATGGCATGGCAAGTTACTTGAACATCACTCATCTTTTGTCATCTTCCAACAAGGCCGTGTGATATATACAGGAGGCTCTTATATGGTTAGAAGAAACATTTACGTTGCTGCTGCAGCATCTTCTGCAAATAGAAATTCTTTTTTGGGTGAAAGAACTTCCATTTCTGCTTTACTGTGTCCCAAAGAAAACCTAATGCTCTAAGAGTTCAGATAAAACACTCCTCATTTTATCAACTGAAACAGGTTTCAGTATAACTCCATCCATACCAACCCGCAAGCAGTTCTCTTTTGCCACCCTATCAGTATTTCCTGTTAGTGCTACAATGAGGGGCCTTTCATGGAATGTTGAGAATTTTTCATGTATCCGGACAGCAACTTCATAAACATCTATAACAAGAATAGAAACGTCCATGAATACCACCTTGTGCTCCAAAGTAACAACCCGCAAACACTCATCTCCAGAGCTAACGGTTGTTACATCACATCCTAGGTGTACNGTGCTCCAAAGTAACAACCCGCAAACACTCATCTCCAGAGCTAACGGTTGTTACATCACATCCTAGGTGTACAAGAAGCCCCCTGGTTACTGTCCTGCTAACCCTGCATTACCGAAAGAAATATTAAAACACAAACAGAAAATAAAGAAGAAAACAGAAAAAACTTTGAGAATCACTGGTGGCACNACAAGAAGCCCCCTGGTTACTGTCCTGCTAACCCTGCATTACCGAAAGAAATATTAACACACAAACAGAAAATAAAGAAGAAAACAGAAAAAACTTTGAGAATCACTGGTGGCATCTAAAATGGTAATTATTACATTTCACACCATCCTACACAACGAACTAAATTTCATTTTGAAACAGCCAAAACGTTTCCCTTTTCCCAAACACCAAAACGAATCAGCGATTGAATATCGAAATTCCTATGTTTCGAGGACCTTTCGATATGGGTCAACTTGTTTCTATATGTTTCGGTATGTTTTCGATCAATCTTCCAGAATATTTCGTGAAATAAATTTTCAAATTGTCTTTTTTCATCATGTTTTCAAATTATTTGTACAGCTGAATGGATTTAGCTTTGTACTATGTATTCATTCATATGATGTTCATGTGCACTTCATTTGTGTAATAAGCTTATCTTTATAAATGAAGAGATGTTGATCTATGTTTTCATCTGTTTCTACATGTTTCCAAATTTTTTATCAATTTCCAAGCTGACCGAAACTAGACACAGAAATGCATTTTGATCCTTGATCCTACACTTATTATCCCACAGAAAAACCCTTGAATATAAATTTTGGACCAAAAGAAGACAAACAACTTGGTCGGGAGGGTGACAAATCCCATATGAATTTTTCAAGAGAGGAAAATTGAACTTTAGCTACTAGTGGTTTGGCAACCATTACTGAGAATGCATTTTTCTTTTTCTTGTTTTTTTCCTGGTTTTTACTAGGTTGAGGTGGTGCTAGGGGAAAGTAGAAACATTATTTTTTCTTTGCACCTTGCTTGAGGGTGTCGCATTATTCCATATTTCCCTGATGATATGTCCCCTCAAGGCACCATTTTTTGGCACGGGTGGTGTCCTAAACTTTTCAACCAAGCAGAGATGTGTGACACCTCTAAACATGAATTCCTTAATTTTCCACCTCTGAATTTTTTGCTCTACTGCTAAATTTTACATCTTCTGTATGAGTTTTGTTCTTTTATGTTAGAAAAATTCATTAAACAGCGCCAAAGGGGACACACACAGCATTATCAAAAGGAAAACAACAAAAAAAAAAATAGTTACCAGAAAGCAGGTACAAGTGAGAAAGGTGGATACATTTTAACACTTTCTGAAGTTAAATACACTCTTACTGGAATTTTATCATAAACNGAAAGGTGGATACATTTTAACACTTTCTGAAGTTAAATACACTCTTACTGGAATTTTCTCGTAAAAATTATCACATAATAGGAGGGTTTACACAGTTTGCTACAATTTCTTGTTGCTTCCGCCGTCCCCTCACCCAATCCAACTTAATTCCTGGTTTTCATATTTTCTACCTGTTTTTGGACCATTTTATCTACTTCTGTTAAAACAGCATCACATCCTTTTGCTTTGGTATTTGTAGACCAGACTTTCATGAGCAGAGTACAATTTGAATGCTAATAAACCACCACAAGATAGAATTCAGGAATGAAAAGGTGGATGCATTACTAACCCATTTTCATCCAAGAGAAGCACTTTGAGTCCAGGAAAATTTGCCTGGATGTGGTTTGCTGGCACTTTAGGTACAAAAGGGACCTTAGCCTCATTAAGGCGCCCAGGAATTCNATCCAAGAGAAGCACTTTGAGTCCAGGAAAATTTGCCTGGATGTGGTTTGCTGGCACCTTAGGTACAAAAGGGACCTTAGCCTCATTAAGGCGCCCAGGAATTTCAAGTTTTACAATAAAGATAGCAGTAGATCCCTTGCCAAGACCTTCACTTTCAATCCAAATGTGCCCCTCCATAAGATTCACAAACCTGAGGGAACATAGAAGAGGATACACATTTATCAGCTTGTGATATATGCAAAACCCTTTTAGCGAATATAGTTCCAGCCAGGAAAAATCAGAACGCCAAACAAAAGAAGAAATGTTTTCTAAAGTGGTTGTTCAAACAAGAACTGAACTGAAGATTGTGTAAAGTAAGAACACCAACATACCTCTTACAGATCGCAAGGCCAAGCCCACTGCCACCAGAATTTTTAGTTGCCAGAGATTGGCTTTGAGCAAATTTAGTGAATAACATGGGCATATCTTGCGGGTTAATTCCTGAACCAGTATCCTTTACCTTTATTAGAGAAAAAAATTATAAGTAAACTAAAAATGAAGTGTTACATATTGAGGATAAAAATGACGTCAATTAGGAATAGAAGAAAGCAACCTGTACACGCAAATAAAAGTAATTATCGGTAGGCACTGCACGAAATTCAGGAGCTCGAGGATCTCTTAAAGATTCTGACTTTGCAGCAAAAGCAGAAATTGAAATGCTCCCCTCCTTTGAGAACTTCACAGCATTGCCAACAACATTTAGAACAGTTTGCATAAGCCGCTTTTCATCACCAAGAGCATATTCTGGCAGATCCGAAGCTAAACTCAATGTAACGAACAACTTTTTGACAGATGCTATAGGTTTTATCAAGTTAAGAACCTGCAACAAAAAAACTAACATCTTACTACAGCCAAGATTATCTGCCAGGAAATGCTAAATAACCATTGGTGGTTTAACATCCTTCGGAAGTCAAGGATTGGTGGCTTAACATCCATTAGGCAGTCTACAACAAATTATAGTAAACAGGAGTGCAAAATTCTACCTCCCTGAAGAGACCATGAAGGTTAAAAGTTCCAATGTCAAGCTGAAGGCTACCATCTTCAAGCCTTGAAAGGTCTAATACATCATTTATGAGCGTAGCCAAAAGATTACTGCTCTTAAGGATTGTTTCAACCATCAGACGCTGCTCTGGTGTCAGTTCAGTTTCTTGTAGCAAGGATGAGAGTGCAATAACTGCATGCATAGGAGTTCTCATCTCATGGTTCATAACAGCCAGGAAATCATTGCGAGCTCGAACAGCAGTTTCAGCTTCTTTTCTAGCCTGATCAAGTGCAAAATTCTGCTGCATTAAAAGATCCCTGGCCCTCATTGACTCTTCTAAGATTGCAGCATGTGAAAGAGCGACAGCCACCTCGATCAACAAAGNCTGATCAAGTGCAAAATTCTGCTGCATTAAAAGATCCCTGGCCCTCATTGACTCTTCTAAGATTGCAGCATGTGAAAGAGCGACAGCCACCTTGATCAACAAAGAGATATGACATTTAAGAACCTCCAAGCACCAATATTAATGTAACAAATATCCAGTTCCAATCTTGGCAAAACCATCAACAGAATTACATCAATAAAAATGTCGGACAGGAGATAATTGTGTGGCCTAGTGTTGTTTTGATTTGGGTAATTTTCATGTGCTTTTTCTTTTCTTGTTTTAAACTTTGGTAGGATGTCTTGTCCTCCATCGTCTCTTTTTTCCCATACTTCTTCTGTCTTCTCATAAAAATGCATTCTTATCGAAAAAATAGATAAATCTCAAGGTTGCCTTTTCTGTAAATAAATTATAGTCGACTTATCCTTCACGAAACGTTCATGCATCACAGCAATTGAAACATATTAGTGTTATGTATTTGGATGTGTCCGTTGTTCTTGCATAAGAATTTTGGACTTTGAAGGTTTGATAGTTAAATGCTTTCCATTTGTAGCTGCAAATGCCTGCTGCATAGCCTCATTCAGTTAATATAGTGTGTATGTATGATGAGGGAATGTTATAGAATCAGTAGTTAGATTGGGGCCAATTGATATATAACCTGTAATTAAATCAAGAATATTTAAGCTGTTGCCATTCATATCACAGGCATGTTAGCTGAAAATGGAATGTAGAACGGATTGCTTCCATTGAGATTGTATTGGAGTCATAGTGTAATGGTTGAGACTCAAGATAATGGTTTATGGTTCAGATAATCATAGCCCACATGGCAGAGTACAAGGTATTGACCAGAAAACAAGACGGATAAGTCTCAATGGTATAGACATGGGATAAGAAAAAGTACACTATCAGTATACTAAATATGACTAAAGAAGATACATAGAAAACCCATCTAGTTATGTGGATTAGTATTAAACCATGTTGCCAAGCCATGCCTTTTTCTTCCAATTGTTGTACTTTTTGCACTTATCAACGAAATATTCCCTCGGCTGCTCCAAGCTACTGTCACTTAATAAATTTACACATATTTAAACTACGAAATTCTTCAGGACTCTCACTTTAGCAGGAATAAGTCACTGTGACATAAGGATCAGGTCCTTAAAAACTCTGGTTATAAGAACACCTTTGGCATGGGATCCCCAAGACACAATCACCCAAGACACAATGAAAGGAAAAAAGGAAAACGGAGAGGATGTTCACTGAGCCACTCCGCTGGTGAGGTATACGATATCTTATATAATATATGACAACTGAAGATGTCATACACTGAACAACAAAATTCATTAGTAGGTNAGACACAATGAAAGGAAAAAAGGAAAACGGAGAGGATGTTCACTGAGCCACTCCGCTTGTGAGGTATACGATATCTTATATAATATATGACAACTGAAGATGTCATACACTGAACAACAAAATTCATTAGTAGGTGTTGAAATTGTGCCAAAAAAAATTCAACAGAGTGAATACTCTTGAATATCAAAGCGAAGAGTAAGTTAAACACGTTATGCAAAGGGAAGTACAACAAAGACAACACTTGAGGGGCAAATTCAAACCTGATCGGCGACCACTTCAACAAGCTCCAACTCGTGGACATGCCATTGCCTTGCGCTATCCGACGGAAGCATCAAAACCATCAAAGCATAGCGTTTCGTGGAAAGTTCTGGCCAATCATTAATTTGAAAATTCGACAGATGCAGAAGTGGGACACGCACAGCAACAACATCCCCAGGCATGTATTTTCCAGTGACAGGGCGAAGTCTTGCCACAGGGCAATTCGGTGATATTTTTACTGCACGATTGGTACTGAATACTTGATTGATTACAGGAAGCTGTATGGGTACAGTAAACCCAACAGGATTTTGATGACGAAGAGTATATGAAAGTTGAAGCTCTAGCCCAGTGCGTGTTGGCATCCACAATGCACACTCTTCCAATGCTAAAGTCCTTCCCAGCTCAATAAGTGTAGTTTTGAGTATAGTATGCCTATCAAGAGTGCTTCTAATTTCATGAGTTAGCATTCGAACGTGCCGGCCTGTTTCTTCCTGTGTACGGATCAGGCCCATTTCTCGATCAAGCTCTGCAGCCTTATTTTTCAAAAATAGTTCCCTAGTTTTAACACTTAATAGATCAGGTATAATATGCACCAGCATAAGAGCTGTTGCACATGACACCACAGCGGTCAAAACCTTTGCAGTGGTCATAACCACTGCCACAGTTCTTGAATACATTTCAAAGGTCCATAAGTTAATAAGATGTGTCGCTCCACAAAGAACTATAAAAGCACCAAACTGCACAAGCACCCATCTATATGGAAATACTGCAGATTTCTTAACAAAGTAGATCAACTCTAGTGGAATGGAGAAATAAGCAAGAGCAATAAAGAAATCCGATATGTACTGGTACTTCATCAACAGTTCATCAGCAGGCTGTGGCTCAATAAAGCAGTTGCAGGAGGTAAATGAACCCATTAAGAAATACTTCCTCGTTTACTTATTCTGCAGCAGACAATCAGTAAAGTTCATCAAGTATAGCATACACCAAGCATAATGTAAGAGTATATCACTGAGCACGAAACTACAAACTTCACAGAAATATCAAGTTATTCTCCAACCGAAACTAATATATACATTAAGGTACCCACCAAAAACATTCACATTCTCTAAGAAGAAAATATTAAAGGATGATCAATCCATTATCATCCTTTTGTCTGTCTACATGTTTGAACAGCATTATGTTCATTGAAGCAATATGGTTTCTGTATAGTCCCCACACATACAAACTGTTGGCTACTATGATTCCTAAGATACAGAGCATCATCCAATAACTCAAGTTACTCAACAGTCAACAAAACACCCTCTTCCTCTCCTACCCATCCCACTCACACAAACAAACAAGGAGAGAATCACCATCTCAGATTGATATATTTCCAGTTATTATAGATGTTCCTTCTTCCACTCCCCCCTAGTGGCTGGAGGGGGGAGTGGGCTCCTGAAGTATATAGCCGCTACACCGAATCAATTGATGACATTTCTTAGACAACAATGGCAGTAACACTTTAAGCAAAATTAAAGCAACTATTTATCTGATTCCACCTACGCATGGAAATAGTACATCGATCAAGTACTACTGCCACAATTCTACACAAAAACACCATACTTGAAAAAGGCATGTTCCAATCTACAACCAGTCAGTGTCACCCACCAATGTTTTAGTATTTCCAAGCAATTGACCATCCCAAGAGCTTATCATGATATAACACATTTAAAACTTAAATCACAAAACCACAACAGTTTAGCATCTCAACAGTGCATCCTACATCTAAAGCCAAGTCAATAAATTTTCTATTTCTTAAATTCAGAGTCGCAATTAACCTAATTAAATCTCCTCAAGCTAAATAGCAAGAGCTTCACTTCCATCATCTCGAATTCGATAGCTAATTAAACCCACCAAAATGAAGTCAACAAAACCGTCAAACAATGTACCAAAACACACCAGAATACACGCATTAAATCCCTAGAAAACTAGCTGACATAACAAATTAGTACCATTTTAAGTAGAAAATACGCGAACATAGCAACATATACAACCACAACAGGCAATCAAGGACAATCAAAACCCTAAAAAACAACAAACCCATCTAAGATAAGAAAGTAACAAATCAAAGACACACCCTTTTTTGATTATGAGAAGTGGAGTATTTTCTCTATCCTAAGATTAGAAAGAGACACAGTGGCGATCAGAGCCCCCGTGATCCATATAAACCCATCTTCGAAAACTATCTCCTGAACAGCGCCAGCGCCGGTCCCAAGCGTAGACCACTGAGGGCCCATATATACTTTAATATATTTAGGAGTAAAAAAAAAAAATACGCCCTCTAATTTTAAGGTAATTTTATGTACGAAGCGTGATGCTAATAAAAAATTAATATGAAAGGTCCCGGTTGACGGCGGTTATGTTTTTTATTTTTTGTTTTTATTTTGATATTTAGAGAAAATAAGAAAAAAAAAATTCGTCTGATAATTGTTTTTATTTTTTTTTTTTGTCATCGTTTTGTAAACGAAGAGCGATTTTTAAAAACAAGAAAAAAACAATTGAATGAATGTTTTTTTAGTTTTACCTATTTTTTTTTATGTAAATATTATAAAGATGAATTATCTCATCACACACATCCCGTTTTCTTAAAAATTTGATACAACCTTATAATGAGTTCTTTAATTTTAAGACCCTTGAAAGAATACTTTAGAGTATCCTAAAAAGGTTTTTTATTTAAACCTTCTTCAAGGAACATTCTAGACTATAGAAATAATATAAGGAGAAGTATAAGAGAGGCCTAAAATATTTTTATAAATATTAGAAGACTAGATATTTGCACAAAAGATTCTAAAGACACCATAAATGTATAACATTTGACAATATCATAGTCATTTATGGTAAAATAAAAGGCTCGTAAATCATTTGCAAAAGGGAAGCAACCAAGTCTAAACTTAAATTCGAAACATNACAATATCATAGTCATTTATGGTAAAATAAAAGGCCCGTAAATCATTTGCAAAAGGGAAGCAACCAAGTCTTAACTTAAATTCGAAACATTTTTGTCTAGAATTTTTACTTAATTATTTTTTTTTTACAGCAAACACAAAATAGTCAACAAAAAAAGTGGGTTGGAGGCTTACTATTCAAAATCCTACTTATATTTATCATTTGGGAAATTATTTTGCTATATTTACAAATTTTAATTCCAATTTTAACTTATATATACCACACTTTATTATATTTTGATATATAAATTCAACTTCAATTAATGAGATTATATCCAAAAAAACCTTAAATGTAAAATATTTTTAAATAAATAATATTAATATTTGAATAATTATTTTCACATATATATGTCTATATAATAAATTACAACAAATTTTAAATTTCAGAGACAAAGAGCGACTGAAATCGTTTCGTGACCAAAAATGACATCATCTAACAGACAACGCTATCTCAACCTATTTCANAAAACCTTAAATGTAAAATATTTTTAAATAAATAATATTAATATTTGAATAATTATTTTCACATATATATGTCTATATAATAAATTACAACAAATTTTAAATTTCAGAGACAAAGAGCGACTGAAATCGTTTCGTGATCAAAAATGACATCATCTAACAGACAACGCTATCTCAACCTATTTCAAACTACTAACGTCTCAGATTATTTCAATCCGATGTACCACATTAATTTTTGAATTTTTTTTGCTGCTCAAAATTTTTAGTTAATAAAACTGACATCCCATTTTTTAATTTCCCCAACCGGACAACACAATCAAATCGCAATGACAGGCTGGCCCCAAATCTGCCCCCTCTCTCTCACTTGCCAAATTCAATTTTGATCTTCAGCATTCACGGGCACAATCCCTTGATATCCTTTCTAATATGTGGTATCATTTCCATACCAAAAAAAAGTTGCACTCTATGTTACCTATTTTAAGCCCCAATTCTCCTCTCTCTCCCAAGTATGTCTTTTCTCTCTCTATTGCTGTTCACACACCAATGAGTTTCTATCCTTTTGAGTTCACTTGCCACTCNCCAAATCTGCCCCCTCTCTCTCACTTGCCAAATTCAATTTTGATCTTCAGCATTCACGGGCACAATCCCTTGATATCCTTTCTAATATGTGATATCATTTCCATACCAAAAAAAAGTTGCACTCTATGTTACCTATTTTAAGCCCCAATTCTCCTCTCTCTCTATTGCTGTTCACACACCAATGAGTTTCTATCCTTTTGAGTTCACTTGCCACTCCTTGCGTGAATGCTTGAATGTTCGAAGTGAATTCAAAAAATTGCTTGAATGTGTCCTCTAAACAAAAGGATTGAATGCTTGATACTGGTACATGTTTCACATCATTCAATAAACAAAAGGATTGAGTGATTTTGAGAGTCATTCTTTGCGTGGGAAGTATTGTCCAACAGAAAAAAAAAAAAAAAATCCACACTTGACAAAAAATATCGATTGTATGCATCTTTTTCGATATAGTTAGTTTCAATTTTTTATTTTATTTTATGTTTAGTAGTCCTAAATTGGCTTCTCCATTTATCAATTGACTATAAGGGAATCACTTTATATATTGCATGTCATTTCTCTGTGCTGTCATATTTGTACTCTATACTATTTATAAATGTTAGTATTTAAGAAAAATTTTTGATTTCTTTTTTTATCCTTAATTATTATAATAAAGTCAATTATGTCCACCTACTTTTATTNCCTAAATTGGCTTCTCCATTTATCAATTGACTATAAGGGAATCACTTTATATATTGCCTATCATTTCTCTGTGTTGTCATATTTGTACTCTATACTATTTATAAATGTTAGTATTTAAGAAAAAATTTTGATTTCTTTTTTTATCCTTAATTATTATAATAAAGTCAATTATGTCCACCTACTTTTATTTAATTTATATTTTTTTTACACTTATTTGACTTTCAACTTATTTTGAACTCTTTTATAAGTACTTATAAATTTTTTTAAACTCATTTATTAGTAGTACAATTACTTATAATTATTTATATCTATATGAAGAAGTAAAATTTCATATATGTTAAATTATTATACACATATAGTTAGCAGATTGAATTTCATGATCAATATATATTTTATTTTATTTGTTGATATGTAATAATATTATAAACGATTTAATCAATCTATTTAACAAAATAAAAATTAATAATTGTATATGTAAATGCCTAAAAATGTCGAAGAGATATCTAAATAAATGAAAAATTAGGTATTTAAAAATATATAGAAAAATTAATAATTAAATTTATTAATAATTAAAGTATGAATTAATTATTTGACATCTAATTTATTATTTTATTTAATTACACATATAATTTATATTTTTAAAAAAATAATATTATTTAAATAATATCCTTTGTGTTTATTATACTACCACCTTTTAAAAACAAATATTGCATAGCTACTTCAAACTCTTTTTCTGCAAGTTATTGATCCATAATCCAGTAAAATACGATTAAAGGCAAGTTATAATTTATATTTTGAAAAAAACCTCGAATTGTAGTTTGACATATAATTGATATTCATTTTATTTTTCATATAACAATTTAAGGTTAAAATTTTAATAGATTAATTGAAAAAAATTTTACTCGTGATTTGTCCCTCTAACATGAATTTCTGGCTCCGCCACCGTTTGATTATTTTCATTTTAGACCCTCGCGTCCCGGTGGTTTGTTTGTATCACTGATAACGTCAGAAGTGATTGTCTACATCAGACGCCCGTGATCGAACAGTACGAGATGGATAATGACGCCAGTGATCCAACGGTCACAATCTGTTGTCCTGTGACAGTAGGATTCTTTAAACAGTGTGGCACTATAGTCTAAAAGCATTTTGACAATGGAACAATTAGCGGACTTTTTACACTACGGCCAAAGAACATACCATTTCTTTACCTC